AGCGTCCTCCTGGCTCTTCAGACTGCACTTCCATCGGGTCCCTGCATTATCCCAGATCAACTGTCTGAGCTCGCGTACCCTCTGGTCGAATACTTTTGGCAATACCTTTCGCCAACATTACCCAAATATCATGTCGAGACAGCGCGGTGCTTACTGCTACTGCACTCGATGGCCCCGGCAAGTCGGATGGTTGAGAGCGCCATATCATCCATAGTTGTAAAGCAGATATCCCAGACTCCCGCAATTGAGGGATCCTCGAATTGCGGTCGACGATTCGCCACACTTTGGGCACATGTTATGCATGAGCTGAGCCTACAATCAGAGAAGCGCCCAAGCACCACGCGACGACCAAGTGGCAACGCTCTTCCTGTCTCACTTCCTGCCAACGACTTCCAGGCCGTGTTGACAAGGCCACTTCTTCTACTTCTAGATACAATCGCAGACGAAGGTTCCGAAACGTCTACCTTTATGCAAAGTTGGCTGCATGAACTGCCGAGTCTGAACCGAATTATCGAAGTCCTCGCAGTTCACATTCAGTCGATGAACTGCTTGGCAGGTTCGAGCAACCTGGCGCCTGAACAGGCCAATCTAAGACGTTCACAACTTTCGAAAAGAGATGACACCAAGGAGTGCTTGTACTATCTCAAGCACATATCTAATGTTGTGAAAAACCCATCACGTCTCACATGGGCTACACTTGCTGAAATGACTGTCGCTTGGTCAGAAGATTCTACATTGCGAGTGACAATCCAGGAATGGCTTGTACGCACTTGCTTGAAGACGCTGGCGCTTCATGCTGGCGCTTTGGAAAAGGATGCGGAGCCACACATCCACGAATTACACAGGCTATCCGTCTCGATCATATCGCAAATCTACCGCAGTCCATTTGTCACTCCACTTCGAGATCTGGAGCTTGAAATACCACTTATGAACAGACTGAGATCAGCAAACCCATCTTTGCAAAGTCTGATATTAGGTGCAGAGCTTGCTGCATTGAGACTCCGTCTGACTCGTCCGCAAGAGCAGCCACCTGAAACCAAAACACTCAGCCCTCCTACAACAAATCGATCACGTCTCTCTTTGACACTGAATAGAGAGTCTGAAGACAATGAGCCGGCACCTGTCCCGCCGCCACCACAGCTGATTGAATGTTTAAAATTTGGCTTCTCATCACCGACTAGTCGTTTGGTTCTTGAAGATTGGATCCATTTCCTTGTCGAGGTATTGCCGATGTTTGCTGATACCATCTTCCAAAATCTTCTTCCCCTTGTTGAATGTCTTTGCCAGCAGATCAACGTCACATTCGAGCATCTCAAAACTACCTTCTCAACGAAGGAGGCACCTCGCATGATATCACCGGAATCGACATTGATATCGCTGATGAATGGTCTGGAGCAAATCTTAGCCAAGGCACACGAACGTCTGACGACGCAAGAAACGAAGGTATCGGCCAACAAAACTCCTGAGCAGCCTCAAGGCTTCTTTAGCAATGTGGTGTCTGGCGTGTTCTCTTCCGAGATGAATCAAATGCGCACTCCTACAGCCAACAGTAGACTGACAGTCCTGCTTTGCTTCCAAGACACTGTTCGTATCTGCTTTTCCATTTGGTCGTGGGGAGGCTATGGTCAAAGAAAAGAAGCACAGGATCCTACATCAGCATCTTCGTTCGCGTACACATCACTACGTATGCGCAACCGAGCTCGCCGTACGCTGGAGCATCTCTTTGGCGCCGAAGCATTGGAATGCCTTGAAACGTTGGCGGTGCTGTGGGCTCACGCAGCACCCGACGATATTCAAGGTCCCGCAATTATGGGGTTGCTAAATGTTCTGAATGGTTCCAAACCCAAGCACACCATCCCGGCGATTTTCAATGCTGTCTATAGTCGCACTGATCCCGGTGCCTTGGATCCTAGCAGACTATCTACGCTGACGTCTGATCTTACCGACACTGAACTGGTTGCTTTCCTCGTCGAGTACACGGACTCTCTAGAAGATGACGCCATGGATGAAATATGGCAGGACTGTATGCTGTTCCTCAAAGATGTTCTCGCGAATCCTCTGCCACATCGACAAATCCTACCAACCCTCCTAGAGTTCACTGCTGTCATAGGGCAGAAGGTTGACAACACCAACTTTGGAGAACAGCGCAGAATGAGGAGGGAGCTCGCTGTAAGTATGCAAGTTTCGTTTGATAAACCTATCTGACCGATTGTATAGGATATCTTTGCAAGAATTCTCACTGCAATCTTCACAACGCGCTCGATGGGTTATCTGCAAGATTCGAGTCAAAGCACGGTTGAGAAGGCAGCTGCCTTAACGAACGGAGGCCGTGCACAGAAACGAGCAACCGATGTTGTCTCTATCCTCACCACTGTCGTACCAAAACTCCCAATTATCCTTGTTGAGAACGATCGGGTGACAAAGGTCGTGTCGGACATATCCGCATCTGTCATCGGTCCAACGTTCCGCGCCAAAGCTTTTCCTGAGAATGTGTCGAGAAACATGCTCGACCTGCTCCAGGGCCTTGTCAAGATTTCACAAAACAACAAACTGCTCAAGAAAGACATTTTTGATGCTTTCAATGACGCAAAGTTCTTCAATACGCCGCTTTCGTTGCTGAAAGATGCATGGGTGCCTATTTTGGCACAGTGGACACAGTCAGACAAGGAGCGTGTACCAGAATTGCTATCGCGACTGTCTGCACCTACAACTGCAGGGATTATGTTTGGTGTTGGGGCTACGTCAGCCAGGCAAGAGGCCGACCGAAAGACGCAGCTCACTCTACGACGCATCGCATTGCTCATTCTGAGCAGCCCTGAAGACGCCTTTACCCCCAACATACCTCAGATTCTTGAAAAGATGGTGGAATTGCTTACGGCAACCCCGGCGTCATCGCCTTCATCCACGACTCGGGCCGAAGTTATTGTGCTGTTACGTGCCATTATCCTAAAGACATCACCAGTACATCTGGCGCCATTATGGCCGGTAGTGAACGGCGAATTGACATCGGGTCTGTCAGCAATTCTGCCGGATGCAGCAAACAAAGAGCACTACAACAATGCAGGCATCATTCAAAGCTGCAAGCTGTTGGATGAGCTGGTTGTGTTGGATCCAGATGATTTCCAGCTGATGGAATGGCTCTTCATTACCGACACGATTGATGCAGTATACAAGCCCGTCGAACCGCCGGCGCTTATGTCGCTCACTGATGAAATCAACGAAGTGTTGAGCATGTCTTCATCAGCGCCTGCAGCGCCTATGAGTGGGCAGCATGGGTCGGAAGGGGACGAGCCCAAAAGGATATTGCTTCTAGATCCGCTGATCGAGGCTCTGGAGAAGGAGGAAGGTGCGGCCGTTTTGGAGATGACTAGGGGAGAGCTAGTAAACCGATTGGTCCGGCCGTTTCTGGGAAATCTTGCAATGAACGCTTTTGAAGCGAGGTACGGAGGTGGGAAAGCGGACTGGCAGGGTGTTTGGGAGAGCGTGGTTGCAGACGCAGGGTTTTGATCTCTTGAGGGTTGATTGGACTGGCTGGTAGCTGCACATGTCAGATCAAACTAAAGTCCTGCACAGTACAGGAGGTCAGCATTTGTTGATGCCAAGCCGGAGTATAATCCACGGTGAACTACGATGCTTGCCAGTCGGAGGGTCGGGAGTTGATGCGGAATTAAAGGGACAGGAGCTAGAAGATGGTGGGACATTTTGGAGAGGAAAAAGCAAATACTAAGGTTCTGGTAAAGAAGATAGTCGCGATGTTAGCAGTCTATGTATGAATCTTGGGGTAGGAGCAGGCCAAGCATTTGGAGTAACCGAGCTCTGTTTGGCTATCCGAGCGTCGGGTGGTGGGAGGCTAGTCGTGCAACCTGCTGTCGTTCTTCAGGTAGTGTTTAGTGACGATGCTAGGCTGCTCACGAGCCACCGCACTACGCATCCCCTAGCAAACCTTAGCTGCACGTGGTGTTCATGTCTAGACTCTGGAGAAAACTTTTCTTCGCAAAAAGAAAGCACTTCAAATGTGGTATATGTATGGTTGTATCATCATGGCTATGCTCATCTACCACGATTTCTTGTCTCTGATTGCGCCAAAAAGCACGTTGAACCAAGATACTCAGGGCTCGCCGAACTGTCATGGACCCTTGAGATCTCACATCTCCGGCGTCTGGCGCGGACTAGTCAGTGCGCTCGGTGGCTTCGGTACCAAGCGGACCCCGGTTCCATCAGCAGTTCAGCTCAGCTGGGCAGAGGCCTTCACCCATGGATCGCCAGTTGGAGAGGGCCAGCGCGGCCAGCGCGGCCAATGGGCATGGAGAGAACGCGAGAGCGGGTCGAGTACGCAATGCGCACTACAGTCATTTCGTACATAGAAAAGCGGAAATCGATTTCGCTCTCCTCCGTGCGCACCGTTCCGTTGGTCGTGCCGCCACACTCGCCTGCGGTTCCTGGGGTCTGGATTGACGCATGGGTGACCGGAGAAGTCAAATATCAACTGGGGAGCCCGGGAGAGTGGGAAGAAGTCATTTCTCATGAAGTTGAGGCTGGTAGGATACGTCAGTGTCGGATGCACGACAGATTGTGAGCTGGGTCGACAAGTGTACCGGATCCGGCCAGAGTCTCCCTCACGGTGAGGCTCTATCCAGCTCCTTACTACTGCTGCGCACTGGCAAGCAGAAATCATAAAAATAAAAAAAAGTTTAGTATATAACATGGCGCCCACCGCGGCAGCCAGAGGGCTCTCGAGCAGAAAACAAACCATGTCGACTTGGAAAAACAGTCATAGCATGATCCAGCAACACTCATCGCAGAATCCTCATCTTCCACGTCACTGGCACACGCATGTAGAGTGTCCATCGGCAAACCTGATTTTGCAGCACAAGAAAACACCACAACACATGAATCCATATTCTGAAACACACACCGCAATGGCTTCAGGCCCAATGGGGACATGGGCTGGGGGCAGGCCTGGAGGCTGGACACAGGACCACCACCACGTCACGAGCCCCATGTCACCGCCAGCAGCATCTGACCCAACCACGCTCGCCTTCGCCTCATCATTCCCCCCACAGCCTCGCCAACAAACGACATGTGCTGTCCCGACTCTCCCCGTGCCGCAGCAACCCAGGGCCATTACCGCTACTCTAGGAGTAGTTCCGGTGTGGCCGCCACCGCCGCTGCTAGCGCCGACACCGCAACTTGCGAACACTGGCGGTCTACCCAGCACCAGCAGAGGCAGCATCCCACGACCAGCACCCCGTGAACACTGCCTGCAAGATGACCTGTACTACACTTTCACACGCGATGCCTACCTGTGTAGTGCGACCGCCGCGGCTAGAGAGGTTGCTGGAACGCTGGCGTTGAACCAAGGTTATCACTGTGCTGGCCCTGCTTCTGCCCTTGCTGTTGTTCCTACAGCCACTACTGCCACCGCTATTGCTGTGCCAAAAGAGACGGTGAACAAGACTCACCGACGCCCACAACACCCATTAAAAAGACCTCTGCACGCACTACCGCCCCAAAATCACCCACCTGCAAAGAGACCTAAACCTTCTACCAACAACAATAACTCCAACATCAACAATAACTCAACCGACCTGCACTTTGTCGACTCGTCTCTCTTCGCTACACTAAACGCAGCCATGATGGAAATCGCCAGCCGCCAACTCCCCACACACCAACCCATGTCGACTTCGTCGCCAAAAATATCCTTCAAGGACACCACCTGGACCTTTCCCAAGAAGCTCAAGAAGAAGCGTCCCCGACCCAGCGAGATCTTCAACATCAACTTTGGCTTTGGATTTTCCTCTCGCCGCCGCCAATCATCAGACTACTCGCCTCAAGTCAGCCCTCGCACAAGCATCTCATCCGCATCCGGCTCCCCCAGGACAGAGATGGCCGAATGCTTTAAGAGACAGCGGATCGACTCTTCCGGCTCCGACGCCGAGGTCACGCGATCAAAGAGCGCAAGGCTGGAGATCATCACTCCCACCACCACCCGCAGCCAATGTGAAGAGCCACACCCCGGCCAACTCGTCGACTTCACCCAGATTCCACCTTCACTTCCTCCCTCGCCACCCCCGGCCCCCGTCCCCGCCATGCAACTCCCTTCACCCAAGCAATCGCCCAAGCTCCTCCCCAAGAGCAACCCAACCAACGAATCCAGCCTGCGCCTCACCACCGACGCCTACCACGAGTACCTCGCCACCACCCAGCGCCGCAAGTCCTTCCCCGCCGGCGAATGGGCCGCCCGCCGCATCCGCGAGGAATTCCAAATCCTCAGCAAACTCGACGCTGGTCTCACCCGTGAAGAGGAAATCGAATCCATCGACCCTCTTGACACCACCACTTCCGCTACTACTGCCAACGCCAACGACATCTCCCTCATCGCCCCCTTCGACACCACCATCACCACTCAGCCTCCTCTCGACAACTCAAACTGCGAACTCCGTCGCACCACCAGCGACCCTTCCACCGAGCGCTTCCTCCTGCACATCCGCGCCAGCCTCGAGGCCCGCAGGAGCAAGAGCGGCAAGATGTGGCAGTCCTACCCTGTTTTCGCTGATGAAGTCGAGAAGGGCTTCTTGGATGATGCGCCCTTGTAAAACACATTTTCCTTTTTTTCTTCTCTTGACATGCAAATTCTTTGTCCCTAATTAGCCAGCGTTTTTTTTTGTATTATATGTAATACTCCTTCTTTTCTATCACATTTCTTTTGTTTAGGAAGTAGGGATGATTTGGTCTCCCTCCCTTTTCTTTTGGGCAAATTTGCTGGTCAATTTTGCCGAGGAGAATCAGCAATCTTTTCTTTTTCATTTGTTTTAGGGATTTTTTTTGCATTGCAAGGGAAATGGGTGTGTAGCATTATTTGGCATGACAGCATTGGCATGAAGCGTTGGAACATTTAGCATAGATACCCCCCCAACATTTACCTCAACCTAACAAACGGGTTGAGGTGCAGAGATGATACAACGTCTCAGATATGAAGTTTTAATATTATGATTACTACTACTACTACAACAACAACAACAACAACATCTACTCTTCTCCATACTTCTTCGTGCTCACTATTCCCCCTTCCTCCTCTCAAAAAATCAACTCATCTAAACAACTGAACATCACCGACTCTTCCACCTCACCCCCCCAACCCACTTAACCCACCGCTCCACCCTCTCCCTCACCTCCTCATCCCCACCCACACCCCCTCGAACAATCAACTCAACCGTATAAAAACTTCGCGCCAACTCCTCATTCCCCACTAACCCATGCACAAAACTATGACACGCCCGACACAACCACGCCACGCTATTCAGCCGCTCCTCCGCATGCCACCCCCTCTTCAACACCCTCGCATGCGCAGATTTCGGGATAAGGTGGTGGTACGTAAGCGGTACCCAATCTCTACCACACAATTCGCAGGCTGAGGTGCGTGTGCTGGACCAGATGGGCGGTGGAGCCGTGACGGCGGTGATATAAGCGGTGAAGAGCGGGGTGAGGAGGTTGTGGTGGTCGGTTTGGTCCGAGGCTAGTGGGAGGAGGGCGTAGGATTCTAGGCTGTCAATGGCCGAGGGGGTGATGCTGCTCAGGAGGATGGTGCGTGTCGCGGCGGAGAGCGGGGGTGAGTATATTTCTTCGAGGGAGGGGGAGGATGTGAAGAGGGTGTGGGTGAGGGTGCGGAGGGAGGGGGGCAGGCTAGGGAAGATGAGGGCGCTAAGGTACTAGAGGTTGCGGATTTTGTTAGTCTAGGTGGAAGGGAGGGAGGGGGGGGGATGTTGTGTACTTCGATGAATTCGCCTAGGTCTTCGGCATCTGTGGATTGTGTATCCTCATTGCCGTTTGAAATGGCTTTGTTGTCTGGCGAAACATCCCTTTTTCCGCTCTTTGATCCCTTTTTCGCGTAGCGCTTCTTCTTCGCCTTGGGCTTCTCCGTCGGCGCGGCGAGCGCTTTGAGGACCAGCTCGCTCATGCAGTCGCGGAACGTTTCGTAGTTGGATTGCTCCTCTGCGGGAATGGGTTCAGCCATGTTCAATTGATTCGAAATAAGATGGACTGTTCAAGATATGCGTATGCGATTTTATGCGCATAGTGGCGAGCATCAGCGGCGATGTCATGGTATTTTTGTAGTGTAGAAGGCGATGACGAAGTCGTCAACTTTCGCGTTCGCGAGGCGAGGCGCTAGGCGGGGTCGTGAGCATAAGGGCGCTGCAAGGGCTTAACGCCCGTTAGACGAACTCGTATCTGCTGGCGAATATTCGAGATGCGATTTCGATCGAATTGCAGCCTGGGGCTGACCTGATGGTGTTTGTTAATTCGCAGCTCTTGCATGAACCCATTACTAGGATTATTCTATCATGTGTTGGCACCGGGCCATTCAGAAGAGCAAAAGCAATGACGCAAGTTGGAGCACAGTCTTGTGATGTTGAATTCTCATCATATTCTTCTAATCCAATCAGCAGAACGTACACTTGCTGAATATTACCATGCCATCTCTCTTTGCGCTCGTTATACCCCGAAAGATCGAGCCATTCACAGCACATGCGAAATATGAGCATTGAGCCCTGTTCTTTTGAATCCCAGACCAGCATTTTGCTGATTTTAGGCCTTCTTCTTTCCGCCCTTGGCAAGGCGGTTCGCTTTGCCCATGGCCTGTTCCCGTCTTCTGGCTTCACGCTCCATGAGCTCCTTCTTCTCCTTTTCAAGCTCAGCACGCTCTTCAGCCTCGGCCTTCTTTCGCGCAGCCTCAGCCTCCCTACGCTCACGAACCAGCTTTAAGCGCTCGAGATCCGCACGCGCCTGATCAGTCTTGCCTTCGGCGTGAAGCTTTTCGTATCGATCCTTGTTGGCTTGCGCTTGGAGAGCCTCGCGCTCACGACGGGACAGCTGCGAGATGTCCTTTTGTTTGCCCTTGCCCTTGGCTGCGGAATCGTCCTCTGCCTCAACGGGTGCTTTGGTAGCTTGTGTGCGGGCCTTGGCGGTGTGATTTGGGTTTGCGGGCATATCATCCTCCTCCTCCTCGGAGTCGGTGGGCATGTCACCTGCCTCGGGTGCCTTTTGCGACTTCTTCGCTATCGCGGCCTGCTTGCGCTTCTTTGCAAGTTCACGGCGCTGTTCACGTGTCAACTCTTCTTGTGCGGGCTTGCCCTCCTCGTCCTCACTCGACTCCTCTTCTGACGATTCCTCCTCACCGGAAGATTCTTCGTCAACCTTGTCGGGTTGCTCCTGTGACTTCTCGTTAGCTTCTGTGTTTCGGGCGCCTATCAGGACAAATACGTACACCCCACATGCCGACTACCTCGCCATCTGCATTTAGCGGTTGCAAGTCGCGTGAGAACTTCTTGCCGCCTCCGCGCTTGACCTTGTTGAACTTGCCGCCGCGACCACGTGCTGAGGACATATTGAATATGGGTTGTGACTGTGGGAGTCAAGGGTGTTCGATGTTGAGTCTGATTGCGAGTCGTGCCCGTGTACACGATGGACGGTGCCGAGAATTATACGGGGTCCTTTACGTGTGGTGTGCTTCAAATGGGTAAAAGCCTCAGAAAGGGTATGAGTTGGTGTTGGGATGATTATATCAGGGAAGCAGAGTGGTCTAGTTGTGAAAGCGAGCCTGTCGAACCACAGCACGTCAGCCTAATATCCACGTTGCACGCAGCAAAGCGAGCCTGCTACTTACCTGCTACACCGCCATGCAAACAGTCTTCTTGGTGTTGTCAAAAGAGTCACCCTGGCCGGCCCACCAACAAAACGTAACAGCCCCGCGCCCGCCAAATTCCCCTGCCCCGCCATTCCGTCCTCGTCACACAAAACGCGCCATTCTCAATTCGCTAGCCTGACCCCTGCACCGCCGCTAGTCCGCATACCAACAAGCGCACATTAGTCATCTGAAATTCTCGCAGCAACAAAATCAGCGCGTCGCCCTGTCCCCTTCTGCTCACTAAAACTGAATACCCCTTTATTCACTCTGTGTCTTCCACCTCCATGGAGATTCGGAGGGGAAAAAGGAGGTTAGAACAACCTCGCGTTCGCTTACCTCCTTCTCTTCTGCGCTTTGCGCTGGTGGAGCGAAGGCAAATTTTTTGGACGGTACATACTTTTGCGTGCATGCCATGGGGCGCACTCGGCCTTGCGCTACCATAATCAGGCTGCGCAGATCTCTGATTTGTGAATGCGCTTTGCCCTAAAGCTGTGTCCCCTGCCTCAGCTGTGAGTAGCATCACGATATGCGCAACGCGACTTGGGTCTGATTCTGCAAGACCTCTCGTTTGATGCTCTGGCTTGGCTACGGCTCCTTGTTAAAGTCTGGAAATCAAGGCACGACGTTCACATGAGAAAACAGCACAAGATTTGATGTTATCCATTCATTCTTGTTCCTAAGCCTCATCTCTGGATGTCGAGGCAAGCTACCAAAGATCATCCATGGTCCTGACGTGTTCCTCGTAGAACCCTAAAAGTCAGCCATACTATGAGGAGGAAAAGAGAAAGAACCCTCAAGTCATCTGCATTAGACCCATCGCCGATAGATCCGCTCCTCCCTCGCAATCAGTATCCTCTCTCATCCACTGAGCAAGCATAAATCTCCACCCATAATGTCACCCCTCATATCCTTGTGATGGCCCCAAAGCCCACTCGCACCTAGATGTACCACATGACATCCTTGAGACTACGCGCATTCTGGATAGGCATCAAAGGACCAACCTGGACGTGCTGCTTGGAGGAACCAGTCGACGATTCCTTCTCAGCCTTGGCCTCCTTCTTTCCAGACGAGACAGGGCTCTCGTTGAGATGGGCACGTGAGCGGTCCGCAGCCAGGTGAGCATAGTAGACAGCCGGATGCATCGAGACTGGGGTGGTCGAGCGCACATACTGGTACGAGTGTTCGAAGATGAACTGCTGAAGCTCGGCAGCCTTCCAATCACCCTCGTTCAGGATGCAGTGGTAGTGGATAGGACGTGCCGTACCCTTGATGGCAACGTGGGAGCAGAGATAAAAGTCGAACTCGAACGGATGCGTGCAGCCAGACTCTACCAACGTGCCGGGAAGAGGGTTGTTGTTGCGATCACCCTTGCCAGCTTCGGGGAAGAAGCGGATGTGGTGACGCTTACCGGCAATCACAACAGTGAACTTAGGAACTTCCTTGCAGCCCAACTTCTTGAAGCATTCCTTCATGTCATGAACCTCTTCCTCAAGCACTGCAGCGTATTGTGCCTCGCCGACTCCGTCGCGAATGTAAAGAACCCGTTGCGGAGGCCTACCCTGACCGATCTTCTGCATCCAAGCCTTGGCCATGTACCCGAAGTGATCGTCGATGTTGGAGGTCGTGATCATCTCGACGCGGTTTCCGTTGGTCTGAACCTCAGCCCAGTATCTAGCGAAATGGACGTCTGCAGACACGGTGATGGCAGCAAATGAAGCAGCTTCACCGGAACCCGCTCCCGGAGCAGGATGAGAGACGTCAGCGCCGACCACCATCGTGGGGATCGAGGCAGCCTTGGGCGCGATCTTCGGAATTACCTGGGACTTTGCGACACAGGTAGCGCCGCCGAGCTTGGCGTTGATCTTCATGCACACGTTGGAGATGTACTGCGGTGAGGCAGACATGACATGCTTGGCCTGTAGCACTTGTGAAGCCACGCCGAAACGGATATCACAAGACTTCTTGATGCGGCGGTACACGTCAACGTTCCGATCGTTGACAATGAACATCATCAGGTTGGGTGGTGTGGAGTACCTGTGAACAAAGTCAGTAACAGCTCTGCGAAAGAAAGCAAAGATTCCATAGCTTACTTGTTGCCGGTCTGGTTCCAGGCCTTCTGGACTACAATCAAGTTAGCGTGCGTCTTAGAGATTCAACAAGTATGATTACTCACCCATCTCTCCGCCATCTGCCAGATTTCCTGGACCCATCCAGGGCTTCTTGCCATGCTGGGGATGAGAAAGGATATGTCCTCCGTGAGCTTCATAGATCTGGATAAGTTTGAGAGCGAAGCTCTCAACAGCTGTGGGTGGTGGACTACCACGCCCTTGGATAACGCAGATGCCCCAAGCCTTGATCGGGCGCTCCTTGTTGGGCATGACGAACTTTCGTCCATCAAGCCTCCATCGGCCTTGGATCATATCAGTAGGTTTGATAGTGGCTTCCTTTGAGCCTGGACCGAAATGAACAACTGGTGAAGGTAGGACACGAGCCTGAACCTTCGCAGCGTTAGGACTAATTTTAATTCCATAGTGGCTGAGGTAGGGGTCGTTGGCCCAATTGAGGAGACGAATTCCATGTTGAACCGCTACCCAGCGATCCTTGGGGAGGGTAACAGCAAACTTGATCATGTTAGATGTCTGCGTGTCACTGAGCTTTGTGTTGTAACGCTGATTAGCGTCAATCTTGAGGACGTCAATCGGCATATAGACAGCTTGACCGCGAATCTTCTTCGTCATCCTGACCACTGGAACACCACCCATGACGGCGATGCCGTACTTCTTCTTGAAGTAGGTAGCGACTGAAATATTTTTGGAACGATCATCTGGGTCTGAGAATGTGGCTTTGTGTACATCCTTGTCCATGAACTCATCAATCGTCCACTGCACAGGCTCCTTGGTGTGTGTGGTGGATACGCCGATGCGCTTGAACTTCCTCAAGTCCTTTTTGAGGTTGGAGTGGTTCCAATCACGGAGCGCATTTTGGAACATGCTCGCAAACTGTGGAGGACTACAGCTGAATGCTTGGCCAATAGCACGCGTGAGCTCTTGGGCACGCCAGAATGTCCCATTGGCGACATCGACGTTGACGGACAGTGACTTGTTGAACTTGTCATCGAGGACTGGGCGAAGGGAGGTGAAGACACCTTTGAAAGCTTCAACACCTCCGCCAAGGTCGAATCGTTGTTCACCTCGCTGGAAGAACGATTTCCTGATCATGGTGTACTGTTGGGAAGGCCACATTCGCATGACATGATCGAGAAAGTTCAGGGTGTCAATGCAGTCGTTGGACCACGCTGCTTGACCGCTCATGAACGACTTGAGGCCGATGAAGTCCACCTGACGAGTCCAGCGAATATGGACAACATGCTTGTTGCCAGAGCTGCCGGGTTTTGTAGGACGGCCTTGTTCCTCGTCGAGATCAACAG